AAGCCCTAAACCCTAAACCCTGATTCAGGAACCGGCTGAAAGACGTCGGCTACATCAGCCCGAAGCGCGGCCTTCTGGGCGTCGTCTCTGCCACGATGATGTGGCTCGGAGTTTCGGTTCCTTCTGAGGAGCGGTTTAGGGTTTAGGGTTCAGGGTTTAGGGTTTAGGGTTTAGGAGGATTTAGGGTTCAGGGTTTAGGAGGGTTTAGGGTTTAGGGTTTAGTTTTTGGCCCTAAACCCTAAACCCTAAACCCTTCAAGTTCTAGGCCTGAGGCACTGCTGGCTGATTGTCTTGACAAGGGAGTGCAAGGACGTAATCGGGCTTACGCGCGTGGGTAGTTTTCTAAATTAGGATCCCTTTTGGGGTCCTGTTTATAAGGGCGCCGTACTATATAAAGGGACCCTAATTTAGAGAACTACCCACGTGTAGGTTTTGGAAGCCTCCTGGGTGAACCATCAGTTTCTGGCTTGTCGAAGCTGTTCTCCATGCTTCAGCCTGCATTTTTTGAGCAAGTCCCGCTCCAGAGCTTGGTCGACTGTGCGTGAAAGATCGTGAAAGGCTGTTTCTACTGGTTCATCTTCGTGATGATCTGGTCTTCCTCAGCTGCGTCCCGTGCGAGCATGACAAGTTCTGCATCTTGGTCGAGTTGAGATGGGTTCAGTGAGTAGCTAGAACTGTCATCAACCCATGGTCCTTCAAACATACTCTCATGTACCCCAGACCCCTGTTCCAAGCGGACCCTCTGCTCCAAGTTAATGGTTCTACTTCTTCATATGTTTTTTTCTGGCGTCGTTCACGGCGTAGGAAGCGTGGCAACGCGAACAGGGCAACCATCACAAACCAGATTTCAAACCCTAAACCCTAAACCCTAAACCTAAACCCTAAAACCCTTGCAGTTGGCCGGTGTTTCCTTGACCTGAGGTCTTGCCTTCCAGCCTGTCATTGAGTGTGCCGTAACCGACTGGGCCTTTGGTCTGCAGAGCGCAGCTTCCTTCTAATATAGAGACCTTAATCCTTAGAATAGGGTTTGGGGTTTTTCTATAATTATAATACGGAGCCCCCAGAACCCTATTCTCATTATTAAGGCCCCTACATTAGGTTCTTTTTGTTAAGCTCTGGTCAACGAAAATCGTGGATGGTCACGTTAGGACGCTACTTTGTTTTCTCTCATCTGCAATCAGTTCTTCTAGATCTGTTTTGCCATTTACACGACACGATCTTGAATGACGTTGTTACTGTAGGAGTCTAAATAAATACCTCTGCTAATTTGGGGGGTTCCTTATTATGACTATAGTATAATATACCCGCAAACCCTTTCTAACTATTACGGCCCTTATGTTAGTCGAGGGGAGGTGACAGGACGGGGAGGGACGGCGAGGGGAGACTGTAGGTGGAGGAGGGGAAGATGGTTCCAAGTGCCTAAACCCTAAACCCTAAGCAGGCATTTGCAGTGCTAGATCAGGTCTAGTCTTCCTGTTGTCCCAAGACAAATCCTTTGATGCCTCAAGTACTTTCTGCAGAGCTTCACGCTCCGACCCCGAAAAAGTGCGATGTATGTCGAACCTGCCATGAGGCAGAGAGAGGCATAGCTCGTAATATAGGAGCCCGCATGGGGTTCCTTATTATAATTATACTATAAAGGAGCCCAAAGCCCTATTCTGATTATCAAGGCCCCTATATTATTATGCCCCTGACCCTGATCTCTCTGATGGAATTTGGCCTTTGCTGTGCTCAGCTCAGGTGTGGGTGGCCTTGTCCTCAGAGTCGGAAGGATGTTGATAGGGGTTTTGGGGAGAGATGCATGTTTAGGGGGTTTGGGGGTTTAGGGTTTACGGGTATGTGGCATGGAATGTTTTACTAGACTGAGAATAGCGCCGCTGCTGTTTGGTGCACTCGTCGCGTGTATCAGTGTATCCGATATCTCGGGAACTATCGTTTTTTGCCAGCGAGAGCCCAGACCATGATGGTCCTGTCCATCTTGGATCTGATCTTCGTTATCCTGCTCTCAGTGCCGGTGATAGCCCTCTGCATCTATGCCTCCTGGAAGTGGCAGCACGGGAATCTCGTTTTGAAGAAGAACTTTCACCGTTTTTCTTATCCAGCTAGACCGAGCCCACGTCTGCTAGCTTTTGCAGAAAACGCTGGCTGGCAAGATACCAAGGCAATTTCGGGGCTTGGCGGACGATTTCAGCGCTCCTTGGTATGTTTTCTTCTCAGAGCCTTGGCAGCATGCTGCGTAGGCTGGACTCATAGACCCAACATGCATCCCTGGACCCTAAACCCTAAACCCTAAACCCTAAACCGGTTTGGCGATGCCAGAAGCTGCACCGCACGCCTGGCTCAGGAGTTCTGGGTGAAGCGACACCGGGGTTACATCCAAGAAGTCCGCGAGGCGGATGACTGAAATGCGGATTTTTTAGTGGGTTTAGGGTTTAGG